CTACTACTACTACTACTACTAAGGGCACCCGGGAAAAAGCTATGCGGCACACGTTGAATTCCTTCGGGTGTCTACTCCCGGCTTGGATCCAAGCTTACTGTAGGCCCGCACCACTCAACAAAGCAACCGCTACCGCTACTGCAACTGCCTGCACAGAAGCTTTTCCCTTTGAGGGGGAGGCTGTCTCTCAAAGGCCCTTAGCAAAAGCTCAGCCCAAAACAAGTTTAAACCGGCCACAGTTCGACTTCTGAATGAAGCTCCAACAGGTCCTTGGAGCTTGCGAATTCTCCGGGTTGTGCAGTCGTTCCTTCCGAAGGCTCTTTCATCATGATCTGCACCTTCAAGCTTTTCAACTGTAGGCTTCAAGCATGGTCTGCACCTAGGAAAGTGGGTTCGGAGGTTGATAAGGAAGCTTTTGTGTTGGCACTTCTTTTGTGAGGCCCCTCTTGGTGCTACTGCAGCTGTTGCAGGCTGCTGCACAACTCCGTTTGCAACTGCTGCTACCCAATGAACAGGGAATGGAGATAGTGAGGATCCGTGACCCACAACCTACCGAGCTCAGTCACAGCGTATCGGCACAATTTGAATAAGGCGCATCGCGCTTGTAAGCCCGCTGGGTGTAGGCAACAGTGCTGAGCTCCTCGTCAAGTTGGGTGAAAAGCTGCCGGGGTCTACAGCTCGACGCAGATTCTCAAGCCTCAGAATACCCGTGCCGGTGCATCAACAAACGCGCCTGCCTCTATCTCTCTCTCATCCAGGCGATCCACACTCATCTAGCGCAGAGACTTTGCAAGTTGGAACCAACGAACAGTGCGTGCAAACGCGAGTGAAGTTTTGGGAACTTCTGTGCGCACTTAAGCCCATTCAAGAAAGCTCGTTTAAAACCCTATAAAACCTGAAACCTGAAAGCCCTAAACCCCAAGCCCCGAAACCCTTGAACACGGATGCCACTGATACCCCAAATGACCTAAAACCCGAAATCACCCTATATAAACCCAAAAACCAAGATGTCTCAATCATCGTCCTCGTCCTCGCTCTCATCGTCGTCGTCATCAGATTGAGACTCCTGACCTGCCATGGCTTGGTTTACGGCTCTTGGCGGGTTAGGTTTATAGGGTTTAAGGCTCATAGGGCTTAAGGCTCATGTAGGGTAGGCTCTAGGCTCTGGGGTTTATAGGCTTTAAGGCTTCGACTATCACACTCGCAAGGCATGTATAGTTCGGTCTCCGCTGCAATGAGTGGGAATGTGCTCAGACCGAACCAATTTGATTTTCTTCGCTCAACGCCTAAACCTATCTTTCCGAATTGAACTACATCCTAAATCCAAACTCTAAAATAAACCTACAAACAACACCTGGAGACCCAAAGCTGTGACTCCCTCGCCCTTGTCTGGCAGCTCTGGAAAGGCAGTTGACACTGAACAGCAGAACCAAAAGCCCCGTGAAATGTAAACGTCTACACACCCCAGAGACCCTGAGACGCCGGAAAACCTAGCCACGGCGTGTTCGGCCTTCGCTTCTTGGAGGGAACGTGCCAAAAACCTGAACACCTTTTGCAGCTGGGCTCTGAGTGCCAGCAAGCCTGAACATGCACCTGAAACCCTTTTGCCCCAAACGTTGAACCCCCGAATTTGATCACTTCTCATCCCACCTGCAGTGGCCATGATCTGCTGCTGTGCCTCCAAAGCGCATGCCAAGGCCTCCTTCGGCAAATTGCCAATAAGAAGGTATAGACTAGATATTTAGGGCTCTATACATGGTGGGGTTCGAAGTAAAGACATGGGTAGCATCCAGGGAATGCCACAAGAAAAACACCATCCAATGCAATTCATGACCCGGCAGCATCAGGGACAGTCACCGCATCATCTTTACCATCATCGTCGTCATCATCATCAGTATCACTATTACCATCACCATCAGCGCAGAATCAAGCGCCACGACAACAACTACGTACGATCACCACAACCTCGGCCCTAAACAACAGCATCATCGTCATCCCCATCGTCAACAGCATTCGCAGCAACAGCAGCAGCAGCAGCAGCAGCCACACCAGCAGCGGCAGCTACAACATGAATGTCATGAAAAGTCTGCCAATGGTGCAAGAAAAAAGCGATTGAACAACAAAGTTTATAGCTTTGATGGGAAGAAGAAATAATGGCAGCCGCTGAAGGCTTCGACGCAAGAGCTCCAGAATTGGAAACAGGCCGTTGATCACCAATCGTCTGAGGAGTAGTCTCCTCTTCCGTCGCCCTTGTCACGCGCAGGATCAAAGCCTCAGCTGCGACTTGACATGGAGGCGAAGTCGTGCTCAACATCACGGCAGTTCCATCTGCCAACCAAGCGGCTACATCGACCAATGAAGGGGATGGAACCAATACAGTTGAAGGAACCCCACAGTATCACGACGCATGTATCACATAATCCAAAACGTTGGCGCAACCTTTCGCTGAATCCGTGACGACTTTGGCGGCTCGAACGGGTACTTCCCTCCCTGGCTTAATGTTGACCACTGACACGCTTGAAGTGTAAGCGTAAGTTGCGGTTCGACTATTGACGGGTCAGCATGCCTGGACCAGCGTACCCAAACCTCTTCTGGCCGACAGCATTGCTCAGATCGAATGCATCCCAAACGACGTGCCATTTCTTATAGCTGTATGATCTCCACCTACGGAGGAAGCCTTGAGTACGGACGTACAACACAACCGAAAACGAAGGTATCGGGGGGTACCAGTAGGCAAGCTTTGCTCCATCTTCGCACGGGAGCATCTGTCAGAGCTTCGGCGAAGATGTCGACGGTGGGAACCGGAGGCCACACGCCCATCCGGTCCTCCTGGCTCCACTCTGCTGCGGGGTCTAAAATCATCGAGGCTCATGGAACGGATAAATGCTTCAAAAACTCAACCCGAAGCCTCAGAAGCTGAACCTACCCTCAAACCCAAAACCACCATAGATCCTGTTACGAGTAACCCTAAACCAACCTGCTCCGGTGGCGGCGCCGGCTCGCCATCATCTGCAAAGCCTTTTGGAGGACGGCGCCTCCGTGGCTTGGATCCGCTGTCCGAGCCTCAGGCTTATTGCTACTATCATCGCTATTATGTTACCCTGTAATAGGGGCTACTATTAGGGCTGCTGTTATGGGGTTTACACTCTTACAACTCGCACAGTCTAAGCGAGGTCTACCGGGCATAGTCGGCATGAAACTGGTTTTATAGGGTTTGGGGGGGGTTAATTTGGGTCTAGGATATTTTTGCCTCCCCCCTAAGGTTCAGAGTTTAGACTTTCATTTACGAGTGTCACTATCATGAACAGAAACACCCTATAATAGGGGTTCCTACAAGTGCTACAATAAGGGTTACTCTGAGGGATGCTGCAGTTGTTACTATAAGTGTGAGTTGCTACGCAGCTTACGCAAAGGGTTACAAAAAGGGTTGCTATAAGCATATAAGGATTACTATCATGGGGGTTACGATAAGGGACAATAGTGGCAGCAACAGATCATGCTAACAACCAAGGCGTTTTGAAGCAGGGCTCTACAGCTTTGCCTGCCCCTCCACCCCGGAGCTCAAGTCAGCACAGGAAGGCCCACGAAACAAGCAGTCACACCTGGATACCATGTTTCTGGAATCACATTAACAACAAAGACTTTTAAGGACAACAGCGATAATAAGAACTAGTGCTCTTAAGCAGTTATTATACTCATTATACCAGCAATTAACAACCTCTACGTGTCTAGGCTTAGCTGGTGAGACTGCAGATCTTTCGAAGACTCGGGCCTTGGAAAACAGGCTCGGCTTGAAAACCCTGAAACCCGCCCTTCAACCGAACAGGTGTGCTTTGATGCACCTGGCACTCAGCAGCTTCAGACTTAAGGTCGACAGTAGACGGCGAGACTTTCAGGGACCAGCATGTCGGGTCTGCCGGTTTCGCATCGACTGCTGAGGAATCAGAAAGACAGAAGGAAAGTTCGAGACCAAACCGAACACAATGCTACCCGACAACAACAGTGGTATGCCGTTTAGTCCCTATTCTGGTTCTACCATATAGCATGCCCCCCAACACACATTTTGGTTATAGTTATTGCTACCTCCATGCAAGCTGAGCACCTGAGCCCGATGAGGTCTTCCTGATGGGGCCAGCTGGAGCGAAAGTGGCACCAACCCCCGCGCCTCGCGTGTGCTAGCGGGTAGGGTGCAGGGCTTAGGGCTTCTGTCAACAGAAGATGCCAAACAGCAGCGACATTGCATGCCATGGGTCTAATGTCTCTCACTTCCCTTCGCACAAGGGTGCGGCCCTCTGCCCTCACTGATGTCTTGTCACTCCACCGCCCTAAACCCTAAACCAGCCTTCATTGTTGCAGTTTCTCGCCTTGAAGAAAGCTTTCGCGGCAGCCTCCATGCAGCTCTGATGCACGCAACCCAGAGACTCCAATATCCCTTAATTCAGGAATATACCTTAAATCATATTAAGGGTCCTACTATAACTTAAGGAATATTCCTTAATCTACGGAACATTGGAGTCTTTGGGAAGCCAGGCTACAAGACCCGAGATCTTAGCAATCACAGCATCGGCCGGGCCTCGAAGGGCCGCTGAAACTCTGAAACTCTAAACCCTGAACCCTAAACCCTAAACCCTAAACCCTAAACCCTAAATCCTAAACCCAAAACCCAAAACGCTAAACCCTAAACCCTGCACCCCAAAACTCAAAGGGCCTATAGAAGACTCCAAGACCCTTTTCCCAAAATTCGGCCCCGCTCTCCGCCAGTAGCCTCGTTCGCACCAATTCGCCGCGGACGCTCCGGCAGGTGATCAGAGCTGGAGTCGGTCTGCAAAGCGTATGTTTTGTTGCTGTTGCTCTTTCTCGGGGGGGAGGGGCAGGTTAGGGTGTAGGTGTCATGGGTTATGACGGTTATGATGCTTATGCAGCCGTGGAGGCTGGAGGCTCTTCTTTCTTGTCTGTGGCTTACAGTTCTTTGGGGTTTAGCTGCTGAGGATATCAGCTCTTCGATGCCCCACGAGTCTGTCTCGTTTGTTCCGATGGCTCTGCCTATCGACAGATCGAGACAGAAAACGAGAGAGCGGGAGAACAAGAGAGGGAAGCAAAGAGAGAGAGAGAGAGAGAGGGACAGGCCGATGTATACTCACAAAAAGGTTGAACATAATTTCGCAGCGCATGTAACCTGTGATTATTCTACCCGTGCTGGCCCTGGTGGTTACGATGTCAGGACGCGAAGATTCCGCTGTGCTATATCTAGTTACTTTGCGGAGCGACGCTTGCTCACCTGGAAGGATGCTTCATGCCACAAGCCCCCAAGCAAGCCCCTTGCCTCGGGGCTTTTTCGGCTTCTGTAACCACAAGGTTCGTTGAATGTCTCATTCTAGCGTATTACCATAGTATCTTCATGACCCAGCTAGTGGGATCTACGAACTTCACATCGTCAAGCTGCCTGAACCTTCGGTACTGCTGGCCTGTGCATGAGGTTGGATTTGGACTGAACTGAACGAGTGCGGAAGTGCCATCGTATCAAAACATGAGGTTTCGGCAATCGCAAAGTTCATTCTTGATTGTGATTACTGTGCGAAATCTGTCTCTCCATCTGCCTATCTGTGCACATCTCTCTCTCTCTCTCTCTATCTTCCTGCGTATGCATACATGCATGCATGCAGCGCCCAAGCGCCAGGGCCAGGAAACGAACTGAATGCCCACGACTGCAAAGAGTAACCCACCTCCGAAAACGCCTGCCTCTATGTAAACATATATACATACATCACATACATACACAAATACATACATACATACATACATACATACATACATACATACATACATGCATACATACATACATACATACATACATACATACATGCATACACATACAGTACGTGCGTACGCACGTACGTACGTGCATGCATAGTTACATGCATACATACATACAGTACGTACGTACATACGTACATACATAAATACACACATGCATACATATATACATACGCACATGTACGCACGCAGTACTTGTGCACACGTGTAAATACATCTGCCTGAGATATATGTCCTTATAAATCTCATATCATCTCAGATCATCTCACATTTTCTAGTCCTATGAACCAATATCTAACTTTTATGATATAATATAATATCTAACATTATATCCTGAACCCTAAACCCCACGTGATCTTAGGGTCTGCCAGGGTCTCCACACTTCCGAGCTCCAGGGCCTCGGACTCCGACTCGCTGCTTGACTCGGACTCCTGGGCAGAGCACCGGGAGGATCAGAAAAAGATCCCTTAGGGGGTTCCTGTATGGTTTCGACTCTCACACTCGCACAAGGCCGGCAAGGCTCCGCATAGTTCCTGTAGGGTTTAGGGTTTAGGGTTTGGGAGGTTCCTATAAAGTACCCTTCAGTAGTTTGGGTCCCAAATTAGGGGATCTACTTTTTAGATCCTCCCTGGTTCAGCTGTCTACTAGAGGGGCCTTCATAGCTGGAATAAGGTTTTGGGATGTTTTGGTGAATAAAGGGCCGTAATAAGTAGAATAGGACTTTTGCGGGAATGCAAAACTGTACTTAGATTCAAGAACCCTCTCTCTCTCTCGCGGACTCAGAGGTCTCAAGAACCCTGAGGGATAATATTGGTAGATATTGAAAGCTTCAATCTTATTCTGGCAGGCCTGGCCCTGACCCCAATACACTTTTGAGGATTTTGCTGCTCTACATGGGGGTTTCCGAAAATAGGGGACCCTAATATAGTACCCTTAATAGTAGGATCCTTCTTACAAGGACCCCAAAATAAAATACCCCTACTTTGTGGAAAGTCCCACATGGAATGCTGCTAGTAGTCTATAGGGTTCGCATACAGTTTTGGGAAGACGGACCACTTTTACTTTTACAAGCCATTGTACGGGTTCATAATTAAGGGACATGTAATTTGAAAGGATCCCTATTCATGCCAACCCTTCCAGAAGTACTGAAACTCAAGTAGCTCCGAAACGTTTACTTCGTATCGTCTTGCCGTGCAGTCGCCACAGAGCCTTAAAACCCACGAAACCGAGCCCATGACTCCCTGAAGGCACCATGGGAGCGATTGTAACCGCACAGCTTCATGTAGATCTGTCAGTGCGAATACCCAGAAACCCATCACTTACAGCCCTCGGCCTCCACAACAAGCCCTCAGTCTTTCCCAGCCCGTGCCTCCTCCTCCTCCGAGCTTCTCGGATCGACCGGCATCCTAAGTCATGGGCCACGCAGCCCAGAGTCGGAAGAGATCCTCAAGCCTGGACATATCCCCAAAGAAATGAAGTTCACTAGGTCGTTTCCCGGTCTCTGCCGTGAACTTCGTAGACTACAAGACAGCCCCATTACAGATGCATCTTTGAGAGGAACCCTGCGGAATGCCCCGCTGGAATTAGGCAGATTCTCGTCGACCCACCAGATGTGCACTAAAACCCTATCGTTAACTAGTCACCTTCATGCACGAACCCTTAAAGCAACCCGTAGAGAACTATAGTTGCAACCCGTCTGGTGCTCTCACAACTCTCCCACAGGATCCCAAATCAACACAGAAACCATTCGAACGAGTCTCGGCTTCGTCGGTGCTCCGAGAAAAACATCCTCACAAGTGGAGTACCCCTGAGCTCTGAACCACACGTAGGATAAAATGCCCGTTATTTTGAAAATATGGTTGTTGATTCTACAAACATGTTGCGGCCACGGGCAGACGCAGCGAAAGAGACACGAAGCGGCAACGCCGGCATAAAGATGTACACAAGTTGTACACAGTTGTCTGTGCGCTCGCTCATGGTCTGATGTATACACACATAAGCAACGGGCAAACGTGCACGAGCCCCAGTGTGGTTGTTCACAGCATGCGTACATAGTTCTCTTACTTAGCACACATACGGGTGCGTGTGCACATGCATGCATATACATACGCATAGATATCGCAGATGTGTGTGTGTGTGTGTGTCAATGTATGTATATTTGCATATATTGGTTCTGTATGTGGGGCATGAGTGATTGTCTGCGTCTTTGTGAATGTGCCTACATGAGCGCCTGCATGCGTGCATCTGCGTGTGGGTTGCCACATACTCTGTAATGCTTCGTAATGTATATATATATATATATAGATATATATATGATTATATGTATATATATATATACATATATATATATATATATTCATGATAGCACGGGTTCGGACAAGAACTTCCCTGAGGAACAAACAATTATAAAACCGCACGCCCTGTATGGCTATGCCTGCCCTGCGGGACCAGAGGCCAAAAAGAAATCCGTGCATTGTGGATTTAAGTTTCAGGAATCAGGTTAGTGATTAATGCCACTGCATGTGCTATGCTGGACAAATCGCTGCACTTCACCAAGCAAAGCCAAATCCGCATCCGTCACGAGCAGTAGTGCCTGCGAAAAACCAGCCTCACAACTGTATGCTTGCCGTCCTACACACTCTCAAACTCTGAACCCTCAAACCCCAAACTTACACACAAAGCCGCTGTCCTTCCACACGGTCCAGGCGCCCTCAAGAGAAGTGGCCGCATCCTCCAGTTTAGATTTAGATTTTCAGGGTCTAGAGAAGTGAAACCAAGGATCATTACATCCGCTGCTGCCGCACAACACTCATGCAAGCAACAGCAAGAATAGTACAAATAACTAAGGACTGTGCTAGGTAGCAAGATCACGGGTACGGATGGTGCCGACTGTAACAAACGTCGCTGCTGCCGTCATCATCGTCGATTCTCTAGATGTCGCAATCTTCAAGTACCAGAGTGAAACCGGGTGCTCCGCGACAAAACAGAAAACAACATCAGGTAAGTTCACAATACAAACGAATAGAAATGCGGGCCCCCGCGCGCGCACACCCACCCACACACACACACAAATGTAGTAATGTATGAGTGTATAAAGTTAAATGTATACATATGTTCGTGCATGTATGTATGTGCAGCATATACATACAGTTTTACATTTGTGTATATACATATGTATATATGTATTATCTAAACAGTTATCTTTATATGTGACACACATATTGAATATCTATATGTATATGTAAATAGCATGTATATGTGTGTGTGTGTGTAAGTGTGTATGTCTAGATGCGGCATGCCTTGATTGTACACAGACGTCGTGGGAGTTCGACGGTGGCTGCGGAGTGGCTTCTCGCCAAGACAGCGGCCAGAAAAAGAACAAATCGGCAAACTCCGAGAACTCTAAACCCTCAGCCCGAAACTTCGAGAACTCTAACATGTAGACGTCAATCGAACACCCGCTGTTGCATTGAGCGATTCAACGGTGCAGTCCTCGAAATTGTACCGCTCCTGAGCTTATGCAAGAACTCGTGTATGCATGAACGTACGGGTGTAGGTGCAGATGCACGTAGTAGCTAAAGAGAGGGGATGCATGTGTACATATACGTGTGTACATGTGTGTATATACACATGTATA